ATGAGAAAAATCAAGGGAAATATAGATATTTTTAAATACTTTCAAGGCTACATGTGAATCAGACAGGTCTAGATGAACTTTACAGGAAGAACAATTAAGGTTTTCTAAAAACATGTAACTCACTAAATCCACGCGGTGTAGCCTAATTTTAGATGGTGTAGTAATGAAGGAACATGGTCCAGTTAGGAAAAAGAAATATAGAAATAATCCAGCTTCTTCCCTTGCATTTCTTAAGTGAAATAAAGAGTATAGTCTCCAGTGACACTTTCTAAAATTTCTCTCTTCTCTCCAATACTTTTCCCCTACTGTGTTGACTCTTAATGACGCAATTGCTTTGTGTGCTTTTCTCTTCTATTTCTTACACTGCTTCATGAAAATCTATACGGATACTCTCACAACAGCAAATCTGTTGAAGGTCAAAAGAATAGGAATACCTTGAGTGGAAGACCCCACAACCTTCTTGATCAAACAATGATCCAAGAGAGGCTTGAGACAGTCAGGCAGTGAATGGCAGAACTCCAGTGTGATTAAGGGAGCATCTTACGGTCCTCTGTCTTGCTCCATTTGACTAGCTGTGAGACACAGATCCATTCATCTAATTTCCCTGGGAATTATTTATCTCTACTATAACATAAAGAGAATAACTTCCTAGAGTATGTGTTTGAGCAGTAAATGATTTCATACATGTGATGCTCTTAGAATGTAATAACTGGTTCTCAGTAAGAACTAGTTATTTTGCTCTCTTCATACAAAGCTAGTTTTGGGAATTCAAAGTGTAATCAACAGTCTCAAGAGACAGTGAACTTTCTGTCTCTGAACATGATCAAACGGATACTAGCTGAGTATATCACAGAGAAACTACCCATCCAATTAATTCATCTCATATCGACATACTGGGAGCCACTAAAGACTCCTTCATATATGAGAATCTACATTTCCATGCATTCCCCTTTCTAACTTTGTTATTTTTTTCCCTGCATCCCTCATTAAACCACCCTAGATCAGAACATCTTGAATTCTCTTGATCCCAGACATTTTTCTCTAGTTTTTTTGGAAGTGTTTCATAAAAAGCCTTCTTTCAGATGACAAAAACTGACAATTTATAAAAGAGGGAAATAAAATATAAAAAATCCTAGCCTCACAGGAAATAAAATATTTGATAATATAAAGGATGACCCTTCCTTGTGTATACATGAGATTTTAAAGAGCTAAGATTTTTTTAATGTGTAAAATGGTTTCAGCCAACTGCCACCCACACAAAGCAAATCTTTCTACAAGAGCAAATCTTTCTACATAAAACAGAACTATTTCTAGTTAGTATCTTCCTGTTGTAGTTAAGGTTTTCAAGGGAATCGATTTAATATAGGACACAAAATTATAGGATTATTTTTATAATATTCACCCAAAGAGTCAAATGCAAAAGAGTGTGGGAGATTTGTCCACGCACTAGAGACCCACAGAATCCAACTGAGAGCCTGGATCCTACACAAGTCCAGCTGAAGACCTAGATCCCATGACAATGCCTTCCTCAGTCCATCTACAGGCCTAGAGCCCATGACAGTGTCTCAGGCTAGTCTGTATCAAGGATCTCTACTGGGAAGGCCCAGCACAGTGGTGAAAGTTAGAAAGTCTGCACTAGCAGGATGGAGGATCTGTGCCAGCAGGCTGAGGAATCTGCACTGGAGCCAGGAAATGATGCTCAAGGTAAGGATCAGTGAGTGCTCCCTTAAAGAGAAATGCAATCATCCTTAGTGACAGGGAGGTCCTGAGCTCCTCCAACAATGAGAACAACTGACTTCACATCAAGAAAGCCAGAGCAAAAAGCTTTTCTAGGAGAAGCGACCAGCTTTTCCAGGAGACTCAATAAGCACACCATGTTCCCCTCCGTGTCTGCTTTCATGCTGTTGGTCGTGATCCTCAGGTGGACCTTGCACACCCAGAATCACTCTGACTCAGTTCAGCTGGGTGTTACAAGGTGACCATTAGTTAATCCACCACACTTCCAAAGACAGAATTAATGGGTAGGGATTAATTCATTTGTCTGTTTCTTGCTTCCCCAATTCTCTTTGCATTCAAGAAAATTTTAATTAAGTTATCAATTTTTTATTCAAGTATTCAATGAAAGATTTATTTTCCAATCAAAGTGCAGTCATGGACAACAATCAGCATTTATCCCACATCTAGTCTCATCTACTTTACTCTAGCACAAGAGTTCTGGGCATTCTTCCTTCAGCTAAAGGTTACTTCCCCTTCCTCTGTGAACTTGCCCCCTCTCTGTACTTTTCACCTTCCCTACCTTTCCAACCTTCCTGCTCAACCTGAAAATATTTGCTCAACTTTCATATTTACTCAGACCTCTTCTTTGACCTCAGTTCTGTCTCCAGCTACCAACCTGTCTCCCCCTTCTTTATCTCTACTCATCTGGTCCTCTCCACAATCTCTCTCCCTTGAACTCTGCTGACCCTTGATCCTCCAGCTAGAATCATCTTGGATATCTGCTTTGTAGCTGTGACACAATCCATCCCACCAACCCTTAGAAGAGCAGTAGATGTCTCTTAAGGACTCACACAATACTCCAGAATAATCTGTTGGAATTATCAGATTACCTCAATAGCTTTGAGAGCAGAGCTAATAAGCTTTGCCTACAGTAAAGAAAGGGATATACCTTGACTTTTTGCAATGTATTAATGATATAATTCTAGACACTATGTGCATGAAGAAAGCAACCTAGATATATGTAGTACCTTGATATGTACATTTTGGCATTGGAACTTAAATTTTTCAGTTCAATAAAGCAAGAAATCAATAATCTTTTTGGCCTTGGATTCTGTGTATGCAATAAAATGTAAATTCCAGTGTGATGTGCTAGGTTTATCATTGATGGCATCTAATCAGTAACATAATGATAAATATGTATTTTCCATAGGCCATTTGGTATAATCTTTCTGTGTTCTAAATAACATCTCTTTTTTTTCTTTCTGTGTCTGTGCTTCATAAATAATATCCATAGAAATTATGCTCCCTTTGACAGCCTTCAGATCATTATTTACCTTCTGATCAACACAGACAGAACAAACTGTAATGTAGACTTTCCTTCTAGGCATGGTAGTGCAGGCCTATAATTCCAGCACTCAGGAGACTACAACAGGGGGATCACTGTAAATTCAAGGCCAGCTTGGGCTAACATAGTGAGTTTCAGGCCAGCTGGAAATGCATAACAAGACCCTGTCTCAAAAAAAGAAAAAGAAAAAAATATATATATAAAGAAAGAAATACAGATATAGAGGTGGAGATGGAGGAGAAGATAGAGATCTGTATTATTTTTTACTACTGAAAGTCATAGAATTTGAGACAAAGATGACCCATGGAAATAGCTTACAGTTGATTAATCCTTGGTTATATAGTTTGGTAATTTATTTTTAGTTCAAGAACCTTTTGAGAGTTAACATTTTTGGCTTGTCTATTTTTTTTTTTATGTAAGCTTTCACTAAGGCTTATTTTGTGACACAAATGTATTAAAATCTTAGTTAACATTTTGTCATTCAGTCTTCATAACAATCCTATTAATTTTACCCTATGATTGTAAGCTTTATCCTTCGTTTACAGGGTTTACAGAATTCTGAGGTGTAGAGAAGTTGGCCATACGCCAGTCAGGTCTTGATCAGGACAGGTTGTTCTCACAGCCCACATTCTATCCCATTCCACCCATTTCATGACAAATCCAAGAAAAGATACTCAGAGGAAACTGACTACAGAGACCCCGGTGTGTAATTAAAAAGAGAATGAGTGCTGAGCGTTTATTTTCTTATTTACAGAGGGTGTAAGTTTTTTAATGCAGAATGACATGGGGAAAGGATGGAAAAGTATCTAAAGATTTCTGGAATAGCACTTGCATCACAAGTACTCCTCTCTTGGACCATTAGTCACAGATCTCCAATTTTTTTCTTGAGCTATCGATTATCAAGTAAAATGGCAACTTACAGATTTTGTTAGTTATTATTGACTTGGTGAGCGAATTTTCAATATGTTTTTAAAACAGATAACAGAACTAAAAATTCCTAAACTAGTTCATATGGGAAAGGAGGGGTACAAACATTTGTGCTGACATCATTGTTAACCTACTAGGGGCCCTCTTAATATTCTAGGGGAAATGACTCCTTGAGGAAGGTTTCTATTCCCAGAAAAACTTTCCACAAATCTTTAAAATAAAAACGAAAATGCTAGACTCAAGGGATGTTTCCATATGACAAAGTTATCCCAAATGTATATGAATTTATTCTCATTTATTGTCTAAAATAATTGATAAAAGATATTTCAAAGGTACATAAATGGAAAGGATTTCTTATTTGTTTTCTTTTCACATGAACTCATCACCTCCTGTCTCTCACTTAATTGCCATAAAATTGCACTAAGTCAGAGATGGCAGGGTTTGTGGTTGGCTGGGTATTGGTGTTTCTCATTGTTTGGTTATACTGTAAATGTCTGGAATGAGCTTAATCTGAAATATTTTTACCCAGCAGTTCTCTTGAATGTCTAGCCTACGGAGGAGTTGTAGGGATTTTTTTTCTTTTGTTGTTGGGTTTTTTTGGTGCTTTGTTGTTGTGGTGGTGGTTGATGATGGTGTGTGTGTGTGTATGTGTGTGAGAGAGAGATGGAGGTGGATATCTCTGTCTCTGTCTCTGTCTCTCTGTCTCTCTGTCTCTCTCTCACACACACACACATACACACACACACACACACACACACACACACACACACACACACACGGACCCAAGATGGCAGTGTCATTTATAGAATTCTTTAACAGAAGGGCAAAGGTTCTCCTGGGGAGAGGTTCTCCTTTAGGCTGATTTCCCTAGTTGTGGGATTGGATGAGAAATAAGGAGGGCAGATTTGCATCCGTAGCTGATTGGCAGTGTCTGTGAGAAAGTATCCACTCCAGTAAGTTTTATGATTTTGGTAGTTTCTTTCTCAGAAGTGATGGCGCCCTTTCCTTCCAGGGGAGAGGCAGTGTGAGGACTGGGATGTTGTTTCCGGTGACGGCTGGGAAGAGGAGGAGGCAGCCAGCAGATTGAGACAATGAAAAGATTCTGACGGATGGAATGTTGCTGTTTCTCCATTTTTGAAGCCTTTCTTCTTTTTGATCATGTTTATCCTTTAAAATTTCACAGCGTGGTCAAAGTAGGTAAGGTACCATCTAACATACCTCTGTACATATTGAGCAACTGCGCGTACTTATAAACACACACACACTCACAATCATTTGGGAACATTTAGCATGGCCACCTTTGGAGGGAAATCACATTTTCATTAACAATCAAAACCTGACCATCAAATGCTTTTAAATGCAGTCTACTTTTTGCTTTTCCTATGAGTTTTCCTATCTTTTTAGTGGGGAAAAAAAAAAAGACATATAAATCCAGGTGTTGAATTTTTCTCCTCTCAGTTATAATTTAGAATTACACTGAAGAAAAAAGTTGTAACTAAGACAAAGTTAAAATATATATTTTGGATCAAGCATTTACATTTTACTGTGACATAAAAAGCAAGCTTTAAATTTACCAAGAAGTAATATTCCACCAATTACCACAAGATTCCACAGCTGCTGATCCAAAGAGGCTATTTTTCTTTCTTGGATTCTTACTCATCAGCTCTCACAATCACCTCATAACTAATCAAGACTTTTATGAAAATGTTAGTGGCCAAAAGATCCACTTCGATTGCCTTCATTCCCTTCACATACTATTTACGGGCATGTTTACTGCCACTAATAACTTTTCTTTTTTAATTTTAAAATTTGTTCAGTTGAAATGTGCTTCAACAACAACAATAAAACATAGCCTAAAATATTCGTGTAGGATTTAGATAGAACATCAATTTTCTTAAGCATTTCTTTACAACACATAATAAAAATGTACTCAGGGAGAAAGAAAGGATACAGTTGTTGATCTTGGCTACTATCGCATGGAGGTTGATTTGAACCTCTTCTCATTATGTAAAGACATAGTGCTTGGAAGAAGAATAGTTATAAGAACATATGTGTGACTTACAGACACTGTGATAGTCAACTGAGACTAAATTGGACTGTGTGTCCATCCCTATATATGCCAAATGTTTGCTCAAGCCCTCGTACTGATTTTGCTAATACAAATATGTATCAGATGTCAATATTGCTTTTAATCTGCATTAAGTCCTGTAAGGACTTTAGTGTTCCTTACTATTAGATCATCATTGTTTCAGTCAGCTACTATCAGAACAGTCCTGCATAACAACAGATCTTGACATCTGAAAAGCTTACAAAAGTAGGTATTTACCTCTCTCTTAGATACCTGTGAATCCAATTAGGCTGATGTAAATTAGGTTCAACTGTACTTGACCCCAAATGTTGAAGTAGATCCCAAATTCACTAATTCTAAGAGCAAGCAGCTAACTAAATCAAATCATGTGCTTTTCAAAGCGAAAGGGAAGAGCACAGAAGGGCACATTTCAAACATCTGCTTCTGTGACATCTGCTGATACCTCATTTGCCAAGACAACTCACAGGGCCAAGTACGTGGGACCAGGAGGTATACTCCTCCAATAGGAAATGATAATAACAATTTTTAAACAGTCAATATTTACTGAACAAAATCTAGTTTCTCAAAACTCTCTTATCAGGCCATTTTTTCTCCAGAAAATCTCACCAAACCCAGACATTTATTTCCTATCATTGCATGAAAAATTCACTGACATCATTCTAGTTCCAATTCTTAGTTCCAATTTTATAACCAAGGAGTTATTTGGTAATTATATTTAGACATTTCAGATACTTTAAACATATTGTGGCTTGAGTAAAACTCATGACTACTCCTACTTCTTCCCCTGCACCAAAAGTGCACTTTTGCTAGTAGTTTCCACGTCACCATGTGCTGCGCCACTCACTTTCACAAACTGGAAACCTGGTACTCTACTTTCCATCAGCTTTCCGGTTAATCGCTGAGATCCACTTTACCTTTGAAATACATCTTGAATCCTTCATTTCTCTTCACCTTTACCGAATCCTCCTGCATATTTAAGAAGTAGCTTTACTCTTTCTCCCTGCTTCACCTTCAAAGTTTCCAAAACTTTTATCTCAATATTCATTGGCAACAAAGGATTTATTTTACTGTCAAATAAAATGATTGATACAGAAGTGTTTATTATCAGCATTAAGTCCCAGTGTGCTGGGAAGACATTGGGGAATTAGAGATAGAAGCAATGAGCTGGGAAAGGTGCACAACCCAAAAATAAGAGAACTCTAGGTAAGAGCTTGCAACATGAGGGCAAATCCAGGGCAGGGAAGGGAGGCAAAGGCAAAGCCTGAGAAGTGATACCGATCCCCAGAAGCTTTCTGAATCCAAAACTACTTGATCTAAGAAATATGAAACTGATCTTGCTTTCTAAAAATGGGGTGAAATAAAAATTTAAAATGTCCACGTAGTTAGATCTTGTCTAGGAAAGCCCATCTGAAGTGAATGAAATAAGAAATAAATGTTAGTAGACAGTGGATACCTCTCCGGTCCAGAAAATTGGAGGAAATAAAGAATTCCTGGATAATGGTAGAAAGGCCGATCCTGTATAAAGCTCTAGGACCCTCAGATCCACCATCTGCATTTGCTTCCTCCATTCTTCAGAGGGCATAAAAGGGCCTTCCCCACACCATATAAGCAGCCGCACCTCCTGTCCAAATATCCTTACTGTGACTCTACTAGGATAAGGGGGGATGGTCAGGTATTCACCATCCCTTCATAGAGTGGGGCTTGGGACTCACTGGGAAGTATATGCAGATGCTCTTTGACTTACAGTGGGGCTTCGTCCTGATCAACCCATCATAAATGGAAAATATCATAGGTCAAAAATGCATTTAATACACCTAACATATTGAATATCATATCTTAGCGACACAGTATGCTATAGATTACCACCCGCTTCCTGTTGTTATTGCAGGGCTTACTAGGAGCTGTGACTCACTACTGCTGCCCAGCATCACAAGATAGGACTGTACCAATACTGTATCATTAACCTACGGAAAGATTAAACTTCCAAACTCGAATTGCAACTTCCCCTGAATGTGTATTGCTTTTACACTGCCATAAAGTTAAAAAAAAATCATTAGCTAAACCATCCTAAGTGGGGGGCCATCTGTACACTTAGTGGCTGAGTTTGTTGGTTATTTTTTGAACCTGAAAAGTACATTGAAATTAAAAGAATAAATGCTGATTGTAGACTTCTGAACACAGTAGCACAGAAACCTCGCAGCACACATTAGGGACGCACACGGGCCATGAACACTTGCTATTTCCAGGGAAGCGGCTACCCTCTTCAGCAGCTCTTGGTCCTGAACAGAGACACAGAACACTCTCTGACAACTTGAAGTCAAGCAGCCAATATCCAACACATTCAATAAATTTTCATTTTTCAGACATGCTCAATGAATTTATCCCTTGCCTTTTATTCAGTAAACTCTAAACCCACTTAATAGCTTTTGTAAACTTAGCAGAAATGTCACTGACATGTCAGTAAGGAAAAGGGATAGACTACATACATAGGCCTTTTAATTTTCAATTGTAGTAGTAACTATAAAAGATCAGCAAACTACCCCTTCAAGGATCAAAAGGAATAATTATAAATTTTAAAAGAGCTTATTTTATTGTATGAACAGACACAGCCTTTCTGGGTCAGGGATATAGCTCAAAGGCATAAGTACCTGCCTAACAAGCATGAGGTCCTGTGTTCGATTCCCAGTACAAAAAAGAACACAGCCACGATCTGCCCAAAGGTAATGTTGTAATGATTTTAACACTGTGATCTTATCGTCACCTAGGCCTACAGATTCTGAAACACATAATACTCTACCTTTACTTCCACCACCTTTGACATAATGTGTAAATACCCAGCTATTTCCATTTGACATGTTCTATTAGAACCAAAGCCCTTCAAAAGAATAGCTTTTAAGACCCTCACATTTGCCTTCTGAATTTCTCTTTGGGGCTCTATTCACGCTTTCTGTGCCAGAGCTGTCACTTCTCCCACCATAAACCAGTGTTGGGTCTAACCATATTTACTCTCAATGTTGGGAATATAGAAGACAGTACTATTTGTCACAGTTTATGTGGCTCATGACAACTAGAGTCAACAAAACTTTTTTAAAAATTTGTACAGTGAAATTTGTTTTCTACAGGTCATTCCTGAAGTAATGTATCAAAAACTCCCTTCTTTCTTTGGAAGAATGTAAATTGCTTAACCATGTCTTTGGCAAGATTTTTCAACAAGTGATGGTCAGCTACAGTGAATCAACACAATCATCATAATTGTCTTGGTTACTTTTTATTTGTCACTTAGACAAAATACCTGATGCCCAAAATGAAGGAATAGAAGGTTTATTACTTACAATTTTGGAGGTTCCAGTCCATACTCGGTTGGCTCTGAGCAGCAGGGTGGCATGGTAGGTTGCCATTCATGGCCAGCTGCAAACAGCAAGAGCCAACGCACAAGAGACAGAGACACACCTTCCCACCATTATATCATACCCATCCCTAGATGGTGTAGCACTCACACACCAATCCAAGTGCTAGACAACGAACCAATCACAAACACTAGATTTGGTAGAGTCCACAATTGCATGAGGCTTGGGGGCCATTGACATAAACCATGACAACAATGTATTTTAATTCTAGCAAAAATACAGCCAAAGTTAAGAGTTTGTTAAATATGTTTATTTTTAAGTACATTGCATCATATGGAGGTTGTTTATACAATAATGCCACTCACTCCGTAGCATCCCAATGTGTTTCCTTGAGAAGGAGGAAACATGTATCATCATAGCTGGCAAGGGACCACCCACCAATCAATAGCTGTCAGTGATCTTTATGTCTTTTCTTCACCTCCTCCAAGAAAGCTCTCACCTCTAAGAAATATGTGTTTGAGCACCTGTTTGCGTATCCCCATAGTAGTGCGTTTCTAGTGACTGTGTCTTCAGTCGTGCATCTCAAGAGAGAAAAAAAACAGTAACATCAGATGGTAGGAATTCGATGAAATTTAAAAGAGCTGACGAGCTGTCTTCAGCCGAGCTTTTAGAATATCCTGAGCAGGTCCAACCTTAGGACCATGGTTTTCTTCATTCCTTCACTGCCTGTCTATTACAGTGTTCATTTTATTAGATTTGAACAGTTTATTCATGTACGTCTCCTCTAGAACTTCTAGACTTCAGTAGGATACTATTCTTGAGAATATGACTGTGTCTTTTTATCTTCGTGTCCAGGGGCAAGTCATATTCCTAACATATAGTAAAAATTCAACACTTGTTGAATGACTGAATGAAATGTTTGGGTGGGTGGATAGGTGAGGGGGTTGCTGTGATGGATGGATGGTTGGATAGATGGATGGATGGATGGACGGACAGATGGATGGATGGATGAGCAGACCAGACAGATGAATTCTATGTAGAGTATAATGTCACCTAAACCATAACTGTTGCTTTCTTTCATTGAACTTTAAAAGTTCTGACAATGTTTTGAGAACCAAGGTTATGTTTTGACAAACCTAATTTAGTGTTTCGCCAAGCATAATTTTGGAGTCCAAATGACTATGTTTGACAGCCTCTCTCTAAGCAGGCCTGCAGTTTGTTTAGGCCACGGCATCATGACTGACAAGTGATATTTTTTCTTTGTTTGAAGGTCTTTGCAGAAATGTCTGATTTCAACAGCTATGGATTCTTTCTGGTTTCTGCTGCCTTATAACCCCTGACAGAAAAGCCGCGCTTCCAGGAGTACTATGTCTTAGTAGATTTCGCAGAACCCTTAAAATGTGATACAAAAGCAAGAGCATTCTAAGGAATAGTCGGGTTCTGCTACAGTGCCTTTCAAAAATGTCTTCTTGAAAACGTTAGGGATGAGACCAAGAACAAGGCCACGGGGAGTCTGGTGTGCTCGGTGGACAGGGACGTGGGTGTCTTCCTTTGAAGAAGGGGCTGAAGGATTCTTATTTCAGAAGAATTTTACTAAGCTCAATGCAAATCCTCAAACCATATGACTTAGCAAATTTGTCTAAGCATTGAATCATTTGCTCCAATTTAGGATTTCAGACTTCCTGAGAATAGTATTTCCAAGAACACCCAGGAGAATTCAGAGTGTGAATAATCCCAGACTTGTCTCCGTCTTGTAAATTAAAAAAAAAAATAGATAATAAAAGACCAATTAAAACATTTGAATTTTACGGTTTAACACAGATTGGCCTACACAGATTGATTAGTTGGTGGCAAATTATGATGAGACATTTTTTAAAAATCAACTCCAACTTTAAAAAAGATGGTGCAAGCAAATGGAAGGCAGAATTTAGCTTTGCTCTCTGGCTTTGGCTTCTTTTTCTCCTGTGCTATCTTTATAAAGGCTGTAAGTAGCAGCTTAGAAAATACTGGCAAGGTTTTAATTTTTCATTTTTTTTAAAAGATGGATTTGGCCTGAAATTTAGTTATTTGCATATAGCAGGACGTGGACATATCCTGTGCTTTGTCTTGTCCACATTGTAAGAATGTGAATATGAACATTTAAGATTTAAAGCAAATCAGCAATTGCTGAACACTGCATTGAAAATGTATTCATTCCAAAGTGAATTATCATCGCTGGTGACGTTCTCTTTTCTAAACCTTAAAAAACTAAAAAAAGTGGTAATACAAACCACATGGTTGCTTCATTCCACCGCCACTTTTGGCAAAGCAAGTGCTGCCTGGCAACCTTCCTGTCAGCTGGGCCGTGGTAATCAGAGCAGTATTGCCCTGTAGTTAAATCTAAATGCTTTCTTTCTGAGAACTCATCAGTGGATGCTTTTTCTTCTTATCAGTCTTCTCAGTAATGTTTGAACAGGGCTTCTGTGCAAGGGGAGAACATGTCCTTGCAGTAGAAGAAGCTGCAGGAAGAATAGAGAGAGAAAAAGAAATAGAAGAAAGAGAAGAAAAAGGAAGGAAGGAAGGAAGGAAGGAAGGAAGGAAGGAAGGAAGGAAGGAAGGAAGGAAGGAAAAAAAAGAACTATAAGATTCTGGAAGGAGCTGTGCTTGGCTGTTGCTTTGATCTCTGGCCCCAAAGAGGCCTAAGACCTGGGAGCTCTGCTTTGCATGCTCCACTTTCTTTCCCAGACTGACTGACTGATTGATTTTGATACCTGGAATCAAAGTCAGGGCCTTGTGCTCACCAGGCAGGCACTGTGCCACTGCACTGTATCCCCAGCCTTCTTAAGCTTTGCTTTCTTCCTGAGGTCCCTACAAGCCTCCTTCCTCATGGAAAGTTCACAGCCAGCATGGAAATATATGGAATTAAGAAACTACACTGCAAAACCTGAAATACAAACACAGCCTTCTTGGACTGGGCTCTGGTGACAATGACAATATTTTAATCCCAACATATTTAGGGAAAAAAATATGTACTTGAAACAAAACGGATGTCAACAACATCCCTCGCAGGGCTAATTAGAAATGAGGTGACACAAACTTGTTTTGATAATTGAGCGTGTGACAATTGAAACTTCTGGGAAAGAGATCACGGGAGAGGCTACAGCCATAGAAATGATTTCTAACCAATACCAAACACAGTAGGAAACTGGAATTCAACTGGAGTTTTGCTTTTTAGCCAGATTCCATCAATAAGGGCATTATTCAGCTCTTCTTATTCGCTATTAATGAAACAGAAAGATGAGCTATAAAATGCATACGAACATTCCTACCTATTCAAACACTTAAAACTCAGTAGCTCTCTGGACAAACAGATTTGTCAGAGACGCCTCAGCCCCAGGTAATCCTGGTCAGCTCTGAAATGCGTCTGATGCTCCCGAAAGCTCCTTGGGGCCTCTTCCTTCCTTTAAGCACCTTCCATTGCTTCATCCTCTGCAATGACTAAGAAAAAGACCAAGTAATTGATGGCTCCAACCCAGGAATCCCCGCTACTTATTGGAATTAAAGTCCTAATAAGTTTTTTCTATGGTCCTTGATGTCTGGATTCTAAAACCCAATACTTTAGATGGACTTTACAAATAGTGTACCCCAGAAGGAGCAAGTAAATTATTTAAAGTCACCTAACCAAAGGACAGCATCACTCTCTAATAGTGTGACCCAGAGAACAGAAGGAACTTTGCTAGCTCTTTCTATTGTGGTTAAAGGCACTCTGCGAACAAACAACAAATTATGTAAGTGTCTGAAACCAACAGGATGCACACAGTGGAATCGTAACAAGATTAAAATGCTTACATTCCCTAAACTGAAAAAAAGAAAAAAGAAAAAGAATTTGGACTTTGGAGGTTGTTCTCATCTTATCCTCTCCTCTTGCAGGCCCTGAAATATTTAGAGTCCAAGTCTGGAGCAAAGTTGCACCCTGGATCTACAAGTGTGATTTCCCTCATTGTCCACTTCCCTCAACCAGGCAGGAGGAAGAGTAAACACGTCACCACTCGGCAGCATCATTCCATGCTGTGGGCTCCTAGATTTGACTTCCAAGAATATTACCTGCCACTCAAATAATAAATAAAATCCCTTATGTTTGCATATGCACTAGAGTGTCACAGACTTTTGTTTGTTACCTTGTTTGTCCGTCTATGAGGCAGACAGGGCTAGCCACAGATTTTATTGACTTTATTGAATTACAATAAGACTGAGATAGAAGTACAAAAATGTCTTAGGGAAATACACCGGAAGCAAACCATCATCAGGTAGTGTAAGGCAGGTTCTTTTTGTTTTAAACAGGTATTACAATGATAGGCAGAAACGGACCAAGGTAAATGAAATTTAAAATATATTATCTCATTATTTCAGTTACATTGTATTTTGGACAGCCTTAAAATAGCTTAAAGTTGAATTTATTGTAAAGGCCTTCCTCTGAAATCTGTGTTATTTATCACCACTTAAACCAGCCCTGGTCTTCCTCCCAGCCTTTTTTGGGGGATGTTTTTAAAATCCACACTGTATCCATCACCATGAAGCCCATTCGTCCTAGGCTTAACCCCAGGGGCACCTTACTCTATCTTTATGTGGCCTCTCTCCACTTAGTAGCTTTCTAGAAACAATTACACACCCAGCTTTAATTTCCTTTCCAGCCCTGTGCACTAGTGTGCAGGCCTCTGTTCTTTTTCGAACTGCCTGTCCCATATAGATGAAGCACAAATTGATCACAGATACTCTGGGTATCCCTTTATGCTGGGACCCTCCCCCGCTCCCATGATCAACTCTTCTCAATCCAAGACAGTTTTCCCCTGGTATCACTCTTTACAATAGGAGGAAAAGTCTTCCTTGTTTTGTTTAATTCTTTCTCAGACTAACAGCTGCGAGCTAGGTATGATTACTTTCAACGACAAAACATCTAAGAAGTCCGTTGCTACCAGTAACACAACATACAACTTTTTAAACAACTCTGATAACAAACTGTTCTAGCCAAAGAGTTCCTCTAAACTTCTGAACTGATTTCTAAAATAGGTGATATTCTTCCAGAACCAAACATTTTATGCTAGGTTTTTTTTTTTTTTTTTTTTTTTTTGATGGTGATTTAAATCGTCACATGACCCATTTATCCTTAAAAGCTCAACTTCTTGTGCAGTTCCATTAAATCATGATTTCCAACACAAGAATGGTGCTGGGGCCTCCTGTAGCTTCCAAAAATTTCACTGTGCTTGTGTATTTGGTATTAGAAATCCTCACAGGATCCTTCCTAAAATGAAGGCTGTAGGAAGGGGATCTGTATCAATTCATAGCAGAGATAATAATTGTTGGTGGTGAAATTTAGCTTTATGAAAAATTAAGTTATTTCCTGGGAGAGTGTATAAATTTCATGCACCCCATATTCTCCATATTAAAATCTGAAACCTTATAGCTATTTTGAGGTCCAAATGTGTGAAAGGGCTATTTTTTAAGGCTCTCTCTGTTTATTTTCTCTATATCTCACTAAGCCTGTGTCTCTGGGCCTACAGATCTGTATTATCCAATTCAGTGACCTCACATGGATATATAAATTAATTTTGTAATTAGTCAAAATTAAGCAAAACTAGAACTTCAGTTTTCAGTTCACTGACAATATTGTAAGTGTTCTTGATTAGACAGCGTACATTTCCATCATCGCAAAAACTTCTGTTGGACAGCACTTGTGTAGACAGACCATATTCTCCATTACACCAGGGACTGTGTCTGTCCTACCTAGGGCATCACAGGACCTTGTGTGTTTAGTACACAATAAGCAAACAATATTTGTTGAATAAATAACCCATCAAGAGAAAGTCATCCCTATTTAATGGAATGTTTAAAATAATCTCTCGTTAGGGAACACCAAAGGTAAGAGTTAACTACAGTGAAAAGTGGGCAGGGAGAATGGACACAAGACAGAAGTGTGTGATAATCTGGCACGGACAAAGTTTAAAGAGTTCACAGTGAGTTAAATTTCCATTAGTCACTAAAGTTCCAAAAAAAAAAAAAAAACTGTATCTACTTTATCAAAATTAGCAATTCCAAACACTGATCTGACAAGCCAGACTTTCCAAAACACTGCTTGGACCTCAAGGCCCGTTTGTTCAGCTCCTGCCCCTCCTCAGCTGTTTGCAGCTGCCCTTGGCCTGCTCTCAGCAGCCTCACTGGCCTTCTCCCTGCCGTTCCCATGTGCTGTCTTAAAACTTGCTACTTAATCTAGGAGCTCTTCACTGCCTTCTTGAGGGAACAAACTCCTAGCCAGTCTTTACATGTCAGTTTTCATCGCTACCTGCAGAAAACCCACCTTAAACCTGGGAAATGGGTTCAGGCTACACTCTGTACTCATAGCATCATAAGCTTTTCACTCATTACACTTATCCAAGCAGGGATTTTATATCTCTGCGTGTAGTTGTTTAATTTAAGGCTACCTTTTCTTCTAGTCTAGCCTGCAAGCTCCAGAAGGCCTGGTCTAGTCTATTTCTGCTCACCTCTGTGTTTTTAATCCCTTCTCTAGTATATGGCATGAAATACACAATCAGTACAAACGTGTTTGAATGAAATGTGATGAGACCAGGAAGTTCTCGGGTTTTACATGCAGAGGTTTAGGGGTCAGCCTTTTTTGAGTATGGAGGGATGAGCCCAGAGGGATAATGTTTATGTGTACTTTTGGCTATTCGTAAGGGCTGACCACAAGTGAGGAATTGCCTGTATTCGTTTGAAAGTTAAAATGTTTATGCAACTCAGTGTATTTTTCCATTCTTTCTTTCCAGCCATCCTCCTTTCCTTTCCTAGGTGATTTATTCTAAGAACCTTGCACTGAATTTTCACATGTAACCAAGAAGACAGGAGATTCTGTCCTCCAGTAGAACACACATTTCCTCTCCTTAAAAAATGTTTTAGAAAGCTAAAGTGTTCACAGAACATTCGATTTAGAATTGTCAAGGGGGAGGAGAATCAGATCAGAAAGTAGACTCTGCTTTACTTTCATCGTTACAATTAAGTAACAGCAGATCGAGAAAATAAATGAGCCTAATTATAAAGTTTTCAAGACCTTGAGAGATTTCGCAACAAAGAGCACTTGTCTTCCTCAACGGGTTTACACTAACAAGGTTAGCCGCCTAAAACAGGCTGGTATTTGCGCTTTGTGCTTCTGACCCTAAGGGGTTAACGTGAAACACTGCAACTTTTTCAGTGCTCACTTTGTCTCGTCCTGCAAAAGTCAAAAAAGAATGGCCTGTAAGGGCCGAAAATGTCATCATTTTTGCACTTACCCTGACCCCAGCATCTAAAAATACAAAATGTTGGAATTTCTAGAGCAGGTGACTTTAGAAAATGCCTTAAGAGGGCTAATTGTTTCAAAGTCTAAATGTAGCCCATAAAAAGGACAGAAATAAAAAGGTGTCTCTCCAAGTGACCCAGCTTGGATAAAACCAGGCACACAATTCATTTGAAGGACTTTTTTTGTCTCTGCTCCCCCCCCCCCCAGTTTAAAGAGAAGCATTTCTTTTGCAGACTAATGGAGAAGAGTGTCATCTTGGCAGCCTTCTGTCTATAAGTGGCGTTAATTTTAGCCTGATCCTCAGGCTGAGCTCATGGAGGAATTTATATTACTTCCCAACCTTTGCTGAAAGCCTAAGGTGGGCTGTAAGTCTCCGGGCAAGTGTGCACTGCTTGTTGAGATCCTCCCTTCTGTGCTAAAGTCGGGAAGGTGGCTGTGGACTTGGGCAGGGCTGCACCTGTCATTGTGTATCCTGTCCCTGCTAACTTCGGGCTCTCCTTTCACAGTTTAACTTTTCTTTCCTCTTTGATATGTACTCTGCAGCTTAGTTTAAATACACCTTTCAAAACACTTCCTTTGAGTTATCCTGTGAAGGAAATTGATCATTCTTTAAATGTATGTTTTTAATTGACTTCTTTCTTCCTGGCTAGGAAATTAACTTTTAGTCCTTTCTTATTTGGTCTATTAAACAGTGTGTGTGACACCTTCCAGACAACAACATTTAATGAGACCGTACATGCCAAAGACTTTACCTGACAGAGGTCCACATTCCCGTGTAACTTATAAAGATATAACAACCAAGCTTACAATTGAATTCTAGCTGCAAAACATATTGAATGACACTGCTGTCAATAACATACTGAAACAGTCAGCTCCACCAACTTATCCTCTCTGCCAGATACAGGGCACTCTTTAAAAAATCAACTATTTTCTCCCTAGGTATTGTTGCCAACAGTGAGTATCTGGACTCTGAACTACAAAGTATTTATTCATTTTTAGACTCATATCAGTTGTTTTTATTACTATTGAAATTTAAATCTAATGTGCAGACTCAGTAATGCCTGAGAACAATTATGTCTGAATATTTCACAGCCTGTAGCAAGAGGTAGCTATTATTCCTGCTGGTGGTTTGCCAAACTGCCACCTGGACAACCAGGTTGGTGACCAAACAGGTGATAATATTCTCACAGTCCTGCAGAAAACACACCCAGCATTCACATTGCCATAGCGCAGTTCTCGACTTCAGTGTTTTATAGACTTCTCTATTGTGCACATGGTCATAGTCCAATCCTGGGTGAATAACAACAGCTCAAGTCACAGGGCTCAGCTGACAAAGGCAGGGTGTTCTTCTCAGAAGAAAACAGACCTCTATGTCCCAGGATGTTTGACACTTATGACCTCCAGAGCATTCCACTGCTAAGGACAAACTGCTTTCCTAAGAAGGAAACTTTAGAGTTTCTCTGGAGATGTTTCTTACCCTGGGGAAAATGTTCTCAGCTCACCCTCTGTGTTCCTCCGTAATGTTGTTTCGACCAATGGCAGGAAGACATCCGGTGACACTACACTCACACACACACACATACACACACCATATCACATCGGCTCGCCACTGCTAAAGATAGAATTTTTCATGGAAATGAAACTTTCCTGGAATGAAATAAATTTGCCTTCTCTTCCTCAAATGTTTCCTTCGTTTATTTTTCCTTCCCTTGCCAGTGTTTTGTCCCTAATACCATTTTTAAAATACAATGACTTGCACCCCTAATTTTTTTGACAATAATTTCATTACTGTTTTT